CCAGAGGCATTTATGATAGACTGTAAAAAGCTTTCGTCATAAACTCATCTCTGTTAAAGATTGTTTTGTTAGTTATTGAATATTTATCTTATTCTTTGAAATGATTCAACAACACAGTCATTTATAAAAACGATTTACCAACTTTAAAAAAAAAACATCTTTAACAACAACAATTATGTAAGGATCTTTTTAAAGTGATTACTTTTTATAAAATTACAGTTGAACATAGTAATTAGTGATTGGTAACGTTAGCTGGTGAATTTTTCGGGATATCGTTGTGATCCAATTGTGATCTAGTTTAAGCATATTTTTCCTATTGAATATTCTTTAAAAAAATTAAATTCCATTTCAACAAATGATGACTAGAAGGGAAACATTAGAGTACTATAAATGACAATTTGATGATAGTTTTGAATTTATCCATCATACATAAACTAATATTTTAGCTTTGAACAGCAAAATGGTTATCATTGTAAAATTTCCTTTCCAAAACTTATGAAATTCTAGAGACAATATTAATGAACAAAATAAGTGCCCCATTTATGAAAATAATATTCATGGAAAACCAATCTGTTACAATAAAATAAACATCAGTACTTATGATTGCATTGATCATTTCTTTAGAATGGACAGTTAGATGATAGTAACATTTATATGGTTATCAAATGTTAAGTTCTATTCGGTAGTCACCCATTTACTGACTGCCAAAAATCAATTTGACCTTGAATATCAGAAACAAGGGGACTAAGATTTGTTAATTTATTTGAACACAAGAGGGCACCAGATATATATGCGCCACATAAAATAATGAGGATGGCAAGAGAAAAGGAAGGTAAGTTGCGTATAAGAAAAAAACAATAACGACCACAGCTTAGTGCATGGTAGTGTAACAATAATAATAAATAATAACAATGGGGAAACGGAAAGGTAGAACCAGAATAATTCTTTCAGTTAAGGAAGTTAGGACACTTTTTATGAAGAAAGTAGAAGGAGGTTACAGCAGGAAGGGGACTAAGAACCCCCGGGTAAATATAATATTTGATAAATAGACGATGAATATGTAAACAGATAACATTACCAAGGTTTGACTTGATAATTTCGAATAAATTGAGCATTGGGTAGAGTGATATAAATAAACAACATATCTGTAATATCCCAATCAGTAGAAAAAGTAGATTTTTTGACGTTTTGTGACTTAGTGTAAGCCACTTCTTCAGAGATTATTACTTAATAATTTTTTACAATATAGTTTTATTCACTAGGTATTGTTTACTTGAATCTACCGATTGATGTTCAGGACTGCAATTAAGTCACGAAACGTCACAAAATCTAATTTTTCTACTCATTGGGATATTACAAATATATTATTTATTTAGAATATGTAAATAGCTTTCGTTACGTCTAAAGTTATAACTATTGCGTTCTACTCTCGTGGACAATCCCTATTACCGTAATAGAAATACAATAACCTTGAAATACGTTTTCTTTATTCTATTATTGATCATTATCAAAAACATGATTTTCGAAATTTAGTTAAGTTAATGTATGCTCCATGAAAGATCACTAGATTTAAACCTCATGTTTTAAGTAGAGTAAATGACGACTAAATGATAACTAATGAGTAGATACAGGTATAATTTGCAAGTGAAACTAGCATTTTGTTTGCTAACATTAAAAAAATAATCACTAGTAATCATTCATTTCTGTACAGTGAAAATGTATGAGTCCTTGAATAAAAATACGTGAACGCCATTATTGTACATTTAAACAGGTTAGTAATATGTGAATTGTTTTACTCAACAACAACAAAAAAGATGAACAAAACAAAATAAATACAGTTAATAGAATTTAGATTTGGAGCGTTCGTGTAAATTAACTTTTAACTTGAATTTTAGTTTCCAAAGTGTGAAAGTTTAATCATTGAAGATGGATCATAAGGAAATATTTATTTTTAAATGTTCAAGCATAAAACGGTTATCCACTAACTATCTTTGCTGAGAATGCTTGTAAATTAAGGTAATATTGAGGTGATACACACAGTATGCACATATACTAATAAGAGACTGATCAAATCCAGTCCTAAATATCAATGGGAAGATTCAAGTAAACAATACCTAGTGAATAAAATTGTATTTTGAAAAATTAATAAATGCAGTAATAAAATCAATGGTTGAGATAACGAGTCTGTTGAAGCTAGATCACCATGGAAAACATGGAAGCATTGGATGACCATTTCGTGCTATTGTGGGAACGGTGGTCTAGCTTCAATTGACTTATGATCTCAACCATTAAAATCACTATAATATCCACAAAAACCCTGCTGATAAATAATAATTTCTTAGATTATTTAATCTAAAGTAGAAGACATTTGCTTTTGCTAAGATATGAACATATTCACATGATTTTCTATGAAATACCTTATTTTGATTTGACTAACTTGAACTACTTTTAATATGCTGTGATTTTGAATTATGTAGAGAAATAGATATACTGATTTATCACTATTCAATTTTCTCAATGCTTGTTTTATTCACTTTGTTTTGTAAAAAAAGGTGAAGGATTTACATCAAATACTGTCATCAAACTGTTAAAATTAATTTGGTTTATCATAAATCTCCAATTATCCATGATTGCAAGTCATGATTAGTTTGTACTTTGTATTTGTTTGTGGTTCACTTAATCATAAAGTCTTACTAGAGATAGTCTTAACTTATAGTGATATTAACTCGCAGATATTGATAAGTGTGATTTCTCTAATTCCGCAATCATCATTGAGTTGTCTCAAAGGTGTTCTTGTGCCGCTACCGTTATTATCTACCAATACGTTTTTCAGTGTCCCTAGATTTTTAAAGGATTTCAAATTATTAACAAAATTAGATTATTTAATTTTAACCCATACAAACCGGACTATTCAGTGAGACGACAACGTTCAAATGGCTGTGACTGGTATCTCAAGTAATGTGAGGTAGTTAACATCCAAGAATTAGTTAATTAGTTATTTAGTCACACGATATGAAGTGTGAAGACGTCATATGGAATATATATATGTGACAAGAGGTAACCTTATCCAATAGAATGCAATAGCATTCTACTATTAGGCCACAAATAAAACAATGTACTTTATTTATATGAACCCTATTGGTAATCAATATCGGGAATAATCTGTTGAAGTTCAATAATTCTTAGGAATAATCAATTTCAAAAAAGCCAATAAGAAAAACATGTCAATAATTAGTATGATTAAACAATCAATTTCAAAGTTTATTGATTTCGATGTTTGTTTTAATTTCAAAAATTGATCGAAATATTCGCATTGATTGATTGTAGTTTTATTTTTGTTATTAATTAGTTAGTTATCAAGTGAAATTCATGTTATTTATAACAAGTAGTAACTGCATAACCTTGACATTAAAACTTCGCATATTTAATCTTTTATGTAAATGTTACATTGTATTACAGACATCAGAATTATTATATAACTAAATCGAAATAAAAGTCATAATCTAAAGACAAGAAAATAAGCTATAAAATTACAATAAAATACCATTTATACACATAGTTCCCTTTATCATTTTAAAAAGAGCAAGAACAAACATTCTAACAGAATAGCATGAACTCATTTCTATTTCGTTGGTTCTCGTCAGCTGCTTACAACCTGTGATATTTAAAATCATTGGCCGAACAGAAAGGAGGGCATATCTCAGATTTTTTGAACATGTTCCATAAAGCCTCAGAACAAGAGAAAGAAAGACTCTAAATAGTGCAATCACTAAACATCTCCTCGAGACAGGACACCAGGTCGATACCCTACAATCATTCAAGGTGATTAGTAAGCAGCCAAACTCCAGTTTTCTGAAGTTTGCTGAAGCAGTTGCAATCAGGCGCCAAAAGCCTGATTTATGTGTTCAAAAGGAGATGGTTATTAATCTTTCCTTGCCTTGGTGATTAATATTCCTTCCTTATATCTTAATATTTTTTTCCTTTCCTTAAACTCTTTCTTGCATTTATCACATCATTGAGTTTTTTTCCAACTATCTTATTTTATCAACTGAACTCTACTCATTTTATTCCTATCCATGTTTACTTGTTTCTAGCCTTTTGAACTGTTGTCACAATGTTCTTTCATCATATAAGGTATATATTTACAATATTCAGTCTATTAAATTTATTTACACCCTTGCTATACTATACGAATATGTCTTCAATATAACTTCCAATCAAACTCTTTAATGTAAGTAAAATGCCATTTAGATAAAGTATTCATAAAAAAACTAAATAGATTATAACTACATAGTAAATATGTACATCCCAAATCACGGAATCGAATTAATCACTTATCCTGAATCAACTTAGGGTCAGAATGTGGATCATCTGGTTTCGCCTCATTGGTTTGAAGGAATCATATCTCCTGAAAGATCTCAAGGCCCAAATTTCAAATAATGACGATATAGTTGTCTATTGTTCCATATGATTTCATGGATCATCACTTAATATCACTTGGCAGAGAAAGCTATATTCAAAAATTCGAAAGTTCTTCACAAATAACTTAATTAGGAAATGAATCTAAACGCATTCATTGAACAACAATTTATTGTTCGAATACCTATATTCACTAAAGGCACTCAACAATAGAAAATACAAAATTCACAAAGGTATGAATGGTTTAGGAGTTTTCAAATGCTTATAAGTGCTTGAGGTAAGAAATACGGTTCAATGCTTCTATATTCACTATGTTTTGAATATTTAAAATCAAACCTACTTTTCTGAAAAAACAGTAAAAACTGAGTTTGATAAGTATATAGACAGATTAGGAGAAAATTCTTAGTTTTAATTCCTGCGAAACACTTTCGAATGTATACCATTAATTAATCTTTAAAACTTACAGAACACCTATTTGATTGTTTATATTAATTCATTATGAAAATTATGTGAAGTTCTACACTTTAAAAAAGAAGAAATTATATTTCATGCAATTGGTTCCTTTTATGAATTCTACTTACACCAAGCTAATTGTTCTTCCAATGACATTGAATCGCCTCCTTTCACTTCAACGCTATCATCATTAATTGAAATAGAGAATTCAACTACTGTATTTTCTGTTGAATAATCTGCTGTTATTGTTTTATTGTGATTTGGATGAGATGATACAATATCATTTTCATCGTCGTCTAAAGATAAAATAAATGTGGCCTCAGTATCACCAGACATTTAATTTTCAAATTAATTCACAATTTTTAATTTAATTTGATGCAATTTTCTTGAACTGGGTAAATTATCAAATCAAATCTCATGAAAGTTTTTTTTTATCTAAAAAATGTGTTTTCTTCAAATAATTAAAATTAGTTTCTAAGGGATGTTTGTGTGTGTTTATATGTCTAGTTCCGCTCTTAGATCACTTTGAGTTGTTAAGTTTTAAGCTGGTAATCACGCTGATGATTGTTACGATTTCCCAATGTAAACCTTTGCATTACAGTATAGATATGTACATAAACATGAATAAATTTGAGTACTTCATTATCAATTCATTTTATTTAAATAGTTAAATCAATGTATGGTTAATTCCTTTAGTTATAAGAGTCATAAATTTATTGGTTCCTTTTTAAAGTGAAAAAAGCCCATAATAACTGGTAATTCTAGTATTACTAACTTAAATAATAACAGTGTAATGTGATTGAGCGAACAAGCCATATGTGCACATTATGTAACACATCTGCATGTTCATGCAAACATCTAGACACAAATATTGAAGTTTACCAACGGTCTATGGATACTATGTGTGTCTCCATACAGGAGAACAAATCATAAATAATATGAAAAATCGTTAGACAGACATGTTTATATGTTAAGTAACATGTCCAATGGCTACATTAAAATATTAAAGCATTTCATGTACTTATTATTAAGTGAAAACAAATAAACCATATTGTGTGCACTAGATAATCATCTTGTAGGTATAATACATGGGATAAGTACACACTATATAAATACGCATATACACGTCACAACTGTATTCGATTTTGACACTACTGATATACGGATGTGAATGACTTAAATCACATGATACAGATTCTATCAACTGAGGTAATTGGATGAATAGGTTTATTAAGAAAGTGATAACTCAAATATATCCTAAATGATTAATTTTGAACTTAATAAGCGTATACATATACTATTTCTTCAGCGGACGTTAATTTATGAAAATGGCAGTGGTAATTCTCAAAAAATCCTAGCTCTCATGTGCCGAAATAATAATAATAATAATGAAGATGTAAAATAATATGCTCAAGTGCTGATTGCGCTAAAATATTAAGCCATATAGGTTGGAAAACAGAAACTATCAGTCATTACTGCGAGTATAGTGCCATGAGATCACTGAAATATAATCCAATAATTTATAATTCATTTATTTTATGATACCCACTTGTATCCAATATTATTTTATTGAAATGTAAAATGTAGATCATTTAATCTAAAAATGATAATCTAAATGAATTGAACTCATTGAAATCTAACCTTTAATTGAATCTAACCAATGAGGTTAGTTGAACATACTATAACACTATGGAATCCTAAAAAACTGACAGTATAATTTTCAATTCATCCTGTGTTTTTTTCTGTTTGATGATAGAAAAGGAGAAGTTTGATTGTAGTGACGAAAGAAGACATTAAACCGTTAACGAAACTAAAATTTCTGAGGTGTTGTTATTTAATTAATTGATAATTTATAATTAGTTCAGTTAGTGAAAATAGATTAATTCAGTCTAATCTTGATTGAATACAATGATGGTAACTGGAAAAAATGAAAAGTGTATCATTGTGATTTAGGATAATGACATACTTAATGAGAGCTGTGTGTGATTTCAAGTTCAAGTTGAAATTTATGTGTTTTGATTCAAAATGATGTGTCATCTGTACTTTAGAGATAATATCGCATATAAAAAAGATCATTGACTACGACCTTTTGTAGTCAATTGTAATTGTTATCAGAATGGGTTTTGTGGAGAATTTTAGAAATTTCACAGGTTGAAATCATGAGTCAGTTGAAGCTAGACCACCATTGAAAACCTGGAAGCACTGGACGGCCGTTTCGTCCTGATATGGGACTCCTCAGCAGTGCGCATCCACGATCCCGCACCACGCGGGGCTCGAACCCAGGACCTACTGGCTTCGCGCGCGAGCACTTAACCACTAGACCACTGAGCCGGCGTCCAACGGTGTTAATGTCTAACTTCAACCAATCCACGAAGTTGCGCCACCGTACACCATTGTCTTCAGTGAGTTGTTATCTCACAACAGACCGGTTGAACTCCACTGGTAACGGCTTCTCACTAGAACTTCAGGAGTTTTTCCTGAAGTCAGTCACTAGTGAGCAGTTGATTATTATTATCAGAATGGGTTTTGTGGAGAATTTTAGAAATTTCACAGGTTGAAATCATGAGTCAGTTGAAGCTAGACCACCATTGAAAACCTGGTGCGTGGTGCGGGATCGTGGATGCGCACTGCTGAGGAGTCCCATATCAGGACGAAACGGCCGTCCAGTGCTTCCAGGTTTTCAATGGTGGTCTAGCTTCAACTGACTCATGATTTCAACCTGTGAAATTGTAATTGTCTCTATTATCTTTATTCACAAATCTTTGTATTATTAGCAAAGATGGATAGTGGCTAGCAGTGGAATCCAGGACGTGCGTTCCATCCTATTTGGGACTCGTCAGTTGGATGTACCTGAGTCCGAGTTGATGTTCACTCTGGGACTCGAACCCAGTACCGTTTGCTTCAAACGCCATCACGTTATCCACTTAGCTACTGAGTCCTGATAGCCACTTGCTTGTGCAATGGGGTGAATTTTAATTCACTTGGTATTGTTTTACTTGAAACGCGCGTCCTGGATTCCACTGCTTGCCATTATCCATCTTTGCCTATAATGCTTGTAAATTAAGGCAATATCGAGGCAATACATGCAATATGCACATATGCCAATAAGAGACTGATCAATGGCAGTCCTAAACATCAATGGAAAGACCCAAGTAAAACAACACCAAGTGAAATTTGTATTATTATTATTATTGTTATTATTATTACTATTGGTTGAACATCCTTATTAATCTCCCCTAAACATGATTCATTCACTTCGTATTCATCTCTCCGTATTATGCCTTACTTATTTGATCGAATTGTAATCGCACTATTATTTCTCTCTCACCCAATTTCACCCATATTTATTCTGATCATGGATCTTAAAATTTCACTTCACATAGACGCAGATTCAAGTTAACATTCTATATGAGTCATATCAACATTAACAATTTTATTGTATTTTGTTTATCACAATCTTAAATTTACATGCTTTGAACGATGTACTTTGCCCTTAACCTGGCCATTTTTCGGATTATTAATTTGGATATATGAATTGTAGAACCTGAAGAGAATCTATCGAAAAGAATATTCTTCGTTCAAATATTAGTCTTTTAATCATTAAATGGCTTCTAGTTGTGGAATGACTCTCTTACCGTTGTCGTTTCATACTGAAAACAATCTTCAAAATGAACATAACTCCACACAAACCGATATAAATAATCCTACAATAAATGGTAAATATCATAAAGTAGTCGCTCAGGTAACATGTAAAACTTAATAACTGCAGAATTTTCGTTTTCGGTTATTTAGTATATCCCACTATAAGACTACAATCATAATACATCCTATCATACATAAATAACAGTGATCTGAAATATTTTTCATTAAGTTAACAGTCAAATGTTGAGCCAAAAATAATAAATTTGATAATTTTTAACATAAAGGGAATAAATCTGAAAATCTTGAAACGTCAGTCTGTCATTCATATTCGGAGCGTTACTAGGGAGAGAGAAACCATGTGGTCTATCTAAATCAATCACTTCCCAAGTAAGAATAAGTGATAAATATAAACTCCAAGATTTATGTTCAGCTATAAAACAGATCTTACTTTAAAAAATACCGGCTACTGTGGTGCAATTTAAAAACTGGGGAAACTTTTACTGATCCCTAATAATAACAAAAAAGATGATTGAAATTTAAGCCTAAGTGATAAACACACACCAAAGTAGTTAGTCTTATTGCTTTTATCAAATTACATATAAACGACAAAGGATATGAATTGAAGGTACAAGAAAAACAGTACATGATCATATTTCTATTAGTCATAAACGTCACAGTTCTAAAGAGATTAATAACTAAGCCCTTAACTGATAACGGTCATGTTGTCAGCGTTTTTTGAGCTACTTACCTGAACTAACAATCGATAAAATATAATTTATTATAGTTCATTTTAAAAAGTTTTATTGGAACTTCAACTTATTCGTTCAAACGGAAAAAATTGTCAATATAGTCAACTGAAGTTTTACTAAAAACTCTAACTGTCCATTTCATTCTAATTTTAATTAATTACTTTAAAAACATCGATGCATTCACTTTGAGATTTTCACTGATTCCATTCCAAGAACTTTTGTTAGCTCTCTCAAACTTGTAACATTACCTGTCTTTTTAATTACCCTGTTCAAGAAAGTTCATGCCTTAAGCCATTGTTTCACGTCTTTTTTTCCAATTCAATGCTCAAATGATTTTATATGCAGAAAAGATCACTGATAATAGTTATCATTTATAATTATAGAAAATCATGTTTTGTTGCATTTCGATCAGTGAGAATAAGTAGCTCATATGCGTTCACATAGTATAACAATGTCATTTGTTATTTTTACAGTATTCTGATAAATATATTATTGTTTCTGCACTTGCTCCTATACTATATCAACACTAACAATTACTGGAACCAAGATCATGAAAATAAATTAAGTATACACGATTTCGCTTGCGGGACTCGAAATCGAGACCTTCGGTCTCGGGCGCAAGCGCTTAACCTCTAGACCACTGTGCCGGGGTCCAATGGTGTTAATGTTTAACTTCAACCAATCCACGAAATTGTGAGATAGTAATTCACTGAAGACAATGGTGGACGGTGGCGCAATTTTGTGGATTGTTTGAAGATAGACATTAACAGTGTTGGATGCAGGCTCAATGTTTTAGAGGTTAAGTGCTCGAGTGCGAGATTGAATGTCATGGGTTCGAATCCCGTGGTCAAGATCGTGGATGCGCACTGCTGGGCTACCCCATACTAGGACCAAACGGCCGTCCATTGCTTTCATGTTTTCCATGATGGTCTAGCTTTAATTGACTCATAAACTCAACTATTATTACTCCATAAAAAACCCCTTTCTGACATTAAGTATACTCAATAGTTTAATTTTGCTCAGTTCGAAACAGTAGACACTTATTACATACAAATTATATTGTAAAATTTAAATATCTGTACTTTGTAACTAAATTTTTCAAAAAAGAAAAATATCCGTGCTAATAGTTGTAATGGAAGAATTAAAGTTAACATGGTAATTGTTTTACTTAATCCATTATTCAAGTGTCAGTTATCTTGTGGTTTTGACAACTAAAAAGAAAAACAGACAGAATAAATTTCTAATAATCATAATAAACCTTGGTAAATTGTAAATAATTTTTTTATATGATTTCATTTAGCTATTATTCTAATTGAACAGAATAACTCGATAGACATATTACCAAGTGTATATTAGTGCCCGTATATATCTATCTATTTGTATATCTGTATATTAGATATAGCTTAACTAACTTTTCAAATCTTTACATAAATATCATGTAGTTCATTTACATTGTAAATTCAGTAATATTTTTTTAAAAGTTATC